AGAACGGTAGGTAGATTCGTTGTCCATTTACCCGGCAATTTCTTTAAGGCTCCAACAATTGGTTTGTGTCCACCTTCGATTTTGCCCTGAGCTTTCGGGTTATGAGCCGACGCAACCACTTTTGTAATTCCGTATATTTGAGTTAATGCGTCAACGTATCGCCGATTTTCTGGTCCTCCATCTACACTTATCTTTCTAACCATGCTCCATCGGCACATGATTTCTTCGTAGATGAATTTAGCCACATTCTCTGCCGTTGCCTTAGACAATGCTCTCCCTTCTACCCAGCCAGTGAGGTACTCTCTTGCTAGTACCAAGAATTCTTTTCCATCGCACGCCGGCATATGGACCACGTCTATTGTGACCCATTCCCAAATTGTCCATGAATATGTCGTTGTAAGCATTTCATGTTTTCGTTTAGTGGTGTGGATCTGGCACTCTTTGCAGGTGGCTACCATTTTCTTAACCATTTCATACATGTTCTCCCACCAGTATCTTTGTGATAGTACTCCATATACTGAATTGATGCCTCGGTGTCCAAGTTGCTGATGTATTTCTTGAATAGCAGCTAGTTGCATACTATGCTTGTCTACTACTCTTCGGACAGCTATATTCCTTAATGTCTTCTTAAAGAGTAGTGTCCCTTTAGTGCAGAATGTAAGAGCTCGTTTCTTCCAGTTCTTTAATTCTCTTCGCGGCATTCGAGGTGCTCTTCCTGTTAGAAGGAACTGTGCTACTTGTTCCCATTGACCCGAGTATGAATTGTCTAGTATTCGTTCTCTTGTTTCTTCCTGATCTGTAATATTGAATAGTGATGCTACAATCATGTGATTGAGGCTGGCATCAATAAAATCCTCCAGATCATCTTCTGGTTCATTTGGAGGTTCCCATCCTTCTTCCATCGGGTACCTAGATAGAGCGTCTGCTACTGCATTCTTCTTCCCTTGAACATGTTTGATTTGGAAATCCCACATAAGAATTGTAGCAATCCACCGATTCATCAGAGAACCAGGGTTTTCGTTTGATGTCCGATTTAATTGTGCAATCAAGGTCTGTGCATCTGTTTCGATAGTAAAGTGGATTCCATAGAGCCATATGCGGAATTTCTTCAATGCCCAAAGGACGGCTTTGCATTCAAGCTTGGTTGAATGCCAACATGACTCCGCTTTGGACCATAGTGTACTTTCAAAGCGAATTGGATGCCTTCGTCCATCTCTTCCATCCTGCTGAAGAACAGCTCCTGCACCATATTGACTAGCGTCAACAGTCAGGTACACCATAAGTCCTGATTCATAGTCCA